GTTCTAGTTTGTACTAAATAGCGTGTAGCATTTTATCAGCAACTCAACTAGGTACATTTATTACTTTCACTTCATCCAATGGTTCAACACGACTAACCTTCCCCGAGTTTCCTCTTCCCCTCGATCGTCAACGGGGTGCTTTGAAAATCAGAAACTGTCGCTGCTTGTCCATAAAAACATGCAAAGCTTTCGTTCTCCATCTCTGAAGACGAATCGGGGCGAGTGTAACCGGCAAGTGACTCTACTCTGTCCTAATGCATGTTTTAGCATTTCTGATGAGAAGTGATGTATTTGATTAGCATAATATTCCCGTTGGTACGTTCAAGGTTCGTGTAGGACTCTTCAAGGGATAGATATTTTTTGGAGCTCTCCATCGGAGAATATCCGTCACGAACACCGGTGGAATCCATGGGCTGAAGATGAAGGATCATCTCTTACGGTTGAGAACCGTCAACCCGAGTAGGAAAGCATCGTGAGAGGATTTCATTGAACGTTTCGACACATGATTTGAGGCAAATTTTGTAACGGGAGCCAGGGAAAAAAAAATCCATATTCAACACGAAACCTTCAAAATCTCGCCTCCCTTCTCGATCCACTTATGGCAACTGTCAGTCAGTAGAAGTGGTAGCAGCTTCCGAGGAACAAATTTATCCATCAGTGTCGCTAATGTTATGACACTCACCCTTCCGTTCGCGGTTCGTGATCTCCCTCCCACATCCCGACCTGCCGACTCTGGCGAAAGTATAGTGCATACATGAACCGAAAACCTCATCGACATGCAAAGAGAGGTGGCGAAGCGCCCGCAGCAACAGCAGCACTTTCGCATCTCGTTTTGTCTAATTTGCATATTCTCGTGTCGCCACCACCCGCCCTTCTTTGCTTCGTTGCAACACAGAGGTTACACGCCACGATGGGCGTTGGGGGAGCTTTTGCTCCAAAGCACACTCGCACAAACACAAACACACACTTGAACCATAATGTTGTTGTTGTTGTTGTTGCTATGGCAGTAGTGCACAGGGAGCTGTCGATGTTTATGCTGATGATGGTGCCATGATTATGATCAGGGATGATCGATTCGGTTTCGGGTTTTCCCAGCACGATGGATGGGCGGTTAGCTGACTGGCGGAGAATGACATGTTGATATTAGCATTTAGCATGAAATTTGTGCTTCATTGAATCGATTTGCGTATCGGATAGCAGCAATCAAAACCGCTTCGAGTGTGGGTGAGAGACAATCGATTTGTAATTGTTCATCCCTCAAACAGTTGAGGGCCCATTTCGAGATGTTTACAACTTAATGAGGCTTGTAATAACCTGGCCCAACCTGGGAGTATCATCCCCACGGACGATTCAAATATGCGCCGGATCCCCGTGAAAGACTTGAAAGAGTGAATAATCATTGATTCCGAGATTACCGTCAGCCATTCGTTATCTCGTCAGTCGCCCGCGCCGGGATTACGATTATGGTAATGAAATGAACGAAAGAAGAAACCGGATCTCCGAACGTATCATCTCACGGTGCGGCAAAAGTTGAAAGGAAAAAATAAACTACTTAAAAGTAAATAAAAGTCACCACCAGAAAACCTGGTGCGGCCGGCGGCGGCTGGTGGAACCCAGTGATCACCAAGGGTAGAAGATGGCCCATGAAAGCAAAAAGGAAAATATGGATCCACCCACCCACCCGCTCGGCTCGCATGGGGACGACTTTCATTGTTAGCGTGGCACTACTATTTGGCGTTATGGTTTGTGTTTTGTCGGTTTTTCCTTTTCTTTTTGTTTTTGTGCGGGCGGTGGGTCCTTCTTGTTTGTCCGAGGTCGGAAAAGAAGCAGCGCGCGAAGGGCCGGGCAAGAACAAAAGAAAACTAAATCCATAAAATATGAGCAAGATTGCGATCGGGGACGACTTGCGGCCTCCTGCGGACGGGGGGGGGGGGGGGGGGGGGTGATGCCAATGAATGCCTGGTGCCGGGGTGTACGACAGTGAATTTGCTTTTATTTTTTTATTTTTTGGAAATATGGTGGGACTTTTGTATGGGGAAAAACAGGGTCAAACCAGTGAAAGTGTTGAAAGTGGCATACCAGGAAAAGCTTTTTGCAAGACTGTTTTTCGGTGGCGGCCCATAAAGTTTGGTCCAATGAAAGTTATGCACTGCACAAAGTTAGAACGTCCTTGTGGCAAGTTTAATGCAATGTTCATAATGGCGGTTGAGAGTATAAATTTAAATTTGCTGGCCGGTGGTTTGGCTGCTTGGAGGAATTCTGTTGAATTCACATTTTCCGGTAAAATATAGACTGTATTTTCGTGGAAAATAAACTGCAGAAAAATTGATCCAATTACAACACTTTTCTGCACTTCGATCAGCATTTTCTTAGCGTCACGCACACTTATAACGTGTTTGTTTGTTTACATTTATCTTCTGCTTGTTTTTCAATTCATTTCAATCGACATGATTGTTCAAAACTGTTTTAACGCGTTTTTCAACGCTCCAAACTACTCAGGTGAGTGCGACTATTGTGGGCAACCCCTTTGTTTGTTCTCAACCAGTTCCAAATTTATTTTATAGATTCGCGCCGTACCCACCGCCGTACTACAAATGAGTGCTATACAAAATTAGTAGTACTGGAAATAAGTTGAACAAAAATTAATTACGTTAGTATTAGTAGCAAATTAGGTTTAGAGTTAAGGTTCAATTGGGAATGGATTTGCTTTATTTAGGGGAATTTAGGTATTCTCGTAAATCTAAGCAGCGTCCGAACTTCTATTAGCGATTTATCAGCGTCACACACATACATGACAGGTTTGTTTGTTGACATTTATCTGCTGCTTGCTGTTCTACCAATTCCAATCGACAGAATTGATCAAAACGGGTTGAACATGTTTTTACAACGCTCCAAACTTCTCAGGTGAGTGTGACTATTGTCGGCAGTCTCTTTTTTTTCGGTACCCTTTCCATTTGAACTGCGTGTTAACCAGCTATTCTATTATCGGCAACTCGAAATCAGCCGTATTTTGTAGTGTGTATATTTCATTTAAAGAAATATATGGCATAACAGGATTGCAAAGTCGTAAAAATGTAATCAGATTGAAGCTGAAAAGGTAAGGAATCGGCTTAATACATTCAGCGAAGAGTTTTGATGGGAAAATACAGTGAAATTAACGTTTCAATTTCGGTTGCCGAAAACAGTCAATGGGTGCCGAAGCCATAATTTACCCTATGTATTAGTGATAAAACAAATGTGTTGGTACTGGCATCAGACAACCACCACAAACACAAAAAATGTTTGCAACGCAAGTGGTGTGGGAAGTAATTTTACCCTATTTATTTTTTTACTCTAAAGTATTAAATGGGGACTGTGGATAGTTTTTTTTTCAGTAAAAGAGTGGCATACATTCCAGGACCGGATTCACTCTATGGGTGCCCGGGGCCAAGAATATGTGGGGGTTCTTTGGACGAACCATAGTTGAATTGTTTTTTTTTTTTTTTTTCTAAATCCTAATATTCTTTTAGACTTGAAAAAAAAGTTAATGATTCTGATAATTCACTCACTATCACGTTACATTTAGCAAGCCAATACAAACATTTACAGAACTGTATTTAAAAAAATCACGGCAGAGTTGTTATGATAGTTTTATTGGAGAACTTTTTTCAAAAATACATTTTAGCATCTCAAATCAAACAAAAACCTTCTGAGAAGGAAAGAACTAAAGGGACTGATTTCATAAAGAAGTAACACGTCAAAACTAGAACAATGGAGTTTAAAGTTTAAGAAAATAAACCCTTGCGGATTAAGTTTTTTTTGTACTAACTATGGATGCTTTTTTAAACTGCAATTGGCATGATTATCGATCCAGTAGAGAATATATTTGGATTGGAAATTATCTAGATTTTTCATATAACACGAAAAGTATGAAATGAAAGTAGTGAAGGTTTAGGACAGCGGTGTTAAACATGTGGCGTATATTTCTTCCAATCCGTGGGTTAGTGACTTCTGACATATAAAAAAAAACTTTATTGAAGATATGTTATACTTGCCGTTGTAAAAGTATGAAACCATATTGATAAAAACATTTTTATATTTATTAACATTTAACATCATTATATCAAGAATTTCATTTAATTCCAAAATAGGCTAAGCCATTAAGAGATGAAACATTTAAATGTCTAAGCAACTTATTCAATAGTAACCAAAAAAAATTCACCGAATAACAAAATATAACTTCAGCGATTAACATCTGATAAAGATATCATCTCCAACTGTTCCTTTTTCAGAGGAATAATTGTTTTGCTAGGCTCATTGCCGAAAACATATCCAGCGACCGAGTGTTCTTTGGGTTAAAGTTTCACAACTAACAATATTGCATGCACAAAACACAGTTTATTTTTCTTAAATTACACTACACTCATTTAATCAAACTTTATTTTTGTAACTTAACTAAACACTAAACAAATAATTAATTATCTTCATCGTTTGCCGAAGATGGCGACATAGATTGTCGGCGCGATGAATTTGTGGGCTACGCACCCAGCTGCGACGGTGGATTGATGTGCACTGACTCGTCCTATGGTGTATTGTTTTTCCCTTCGGTGCGGATGCTGTAGAGAGATGACATCGCGAACAGTGGTATGTTCCGTACAGTCGATGTGTGGGATATCGATCGGTGATTGTCCATTGCGTTGTGTTGCTAAGTTGGTGGTGGAGCGTTCATCGGTCACAGATTCGAGGACAGACGTATTGATGGTGTCGAACATCCTGCCCTCTGCAGAAATAACTATTTCTGAACTTCGACGGGACGTTGATTATCAGATAATCGTAGACATGCAAAGAAATAAGAGATCCGGTAGGCCTTTTCTACTGAAGTAAAAGATATGGACAGATCCTCACCTGGACCCTCCGGTATGAGAGCCTTGTATTGATTTGAATGCGGCTATTGAGTATCGGTGTAAGGTTGATCAGCTTGCTGAAACCGACGTTGCCAGGTTGATCCAAAAAGGAAACCTCTAGCTAGACCGCGCGGGCGGCTCTTCTGATGTGGTCGTTTGGTCGTCGTTGGGTGGTGGTATGGGTAGAACACAGATCTTTGAAGTTGGGCGTGTAAGCAAACTGGAGCCAGTCTGCAGTGTGACGACGCCATCTTGACCTGGGTGGAGCTCGTGGATTCGAGCGATAGGCCAACGCATTGGTGGTTGATTCTCGTCCACGATGACGACGACTTGATTCTTCTGTAGCTCTATTGGTGGTTTTATCCATTTGCTGCGAGGTTGCAGTGCTTGCAGATATTCTACGTGCCAGCGTTTCCAGACATCCTGAAGCATTTTCTGGATCTGCTGCCATTGGTGAAGGCGATTCATCGGAATAGACTCGTAGTCGATGTCTGGAACAGACTGTAGCGAGGATCCGACGATGAAATGACCCGGCGTTAGAGCCTGCAAATCCGATGGGTCGTCGGAGAGTTTGGTCAACGGGCGAGAGTTGAGGCAGCCTTCGATTTGTACGAGAAGTGTCTCCATATCGTCAAAGGCTAGTTTTCGGTCACCAAGCACACGGACAAAGTGTTTTTGCGCTGACTTGATCGCTGCTTCCCATAGACCTCCAAAATGGGATCCACGAGGAGGATTGAAATGCCAGCGGATTCCTGAAGTCGAACATTCACTGGCGATGGAGTGGCGAAAGTCTTCGGAACGCAACAGTCTTCGAAGCTCGTTAGCAGCACCGACGAAATTCTTGCCGTTGTCAGTGTATACATCTGCGCACAGACCGCGACGAGAAACGAAACGACGGAAAGCTTGGAGAAATTTCACCGTACTCAGATCACCAACAAGTTCTACGTGAACGGCCTTTGTGCTGAAGCACACGAACACTGAAACGTAGGCTTTTGTTGGTGCGTCTCTACGGTGACGAGGTTTGAGATAGATCGGCCCCCAAAAGTCGATATAAACGACGGAGAATGGCCGTGAAGCAGTGACACGCTGCGAGGGAAGTTCGGCCATGAACTGCTCGATGGCTTTGGGCTTTGCTCGTACGCACGTAACGCAGTTATGAACAATGCAACGGGTAGTATTTCTGCCTCCTAAGATCCAGAATCGTAGTCGGATGGTGTTGGTAAGAAGCTGCACTGCTGCGTGAAGAAGACGTTCGTGCAGACATCGAACAAGAAGCGTTGTAAACGGATGTGATCCTGGGAGCAGAATTTGATGTCGCGAATCGAAAGGTTGGGAAGAACGATCTATTCGTCCACCTATTCGTAAAATGTCGTCGGAATCGATCATCGGATGGAACCAACGGAGCCGAGAATGAGTTGGAACTGTTTGATTTGCTTTCACAGCTTTCAATTCTGCCGGAAAAGCGTCCTTCTGCACCAGTCGCACAAGAGCTAATTCGGCGCTACGAATCTCCGAAGTAGAAAGCGGTGATGAGACGACTCGTTCAAATTTTGCCAGGTGTAGATTTCTGAAGTACCGCCTCCAGTAGGCAGTAATCCGTAGCATGTGCTGATAGTTGGAGAACCGACCGACGTACTCTTCGACGAAAGTAATCGAAGGAGATGCGGTAGCGAGTGATGTTTTCCTTGCTTCCCTTTCGGCTTCTGAATCTATGGCTTCATTAACTTGAACCTTCCACGATTCTTTGTCGTTTTGAAGCCATGGAGGACCTTCCCACCACTGTTTACACTGGAGCAAATCTCCTGCTGCTATTCCTCTGGAAATGATGTCAGCAGGATTCTCACAACCAGCGACATGGTTCCATTCACAGTTTTCTGTCATTTGCTGGATTTTTGAAACGCGATTGCCAACGAAAGTGGACCAGGTTGTTGACGGTGTTGCGTTGAGCCAACATAGAACAGTTGTTGAATCAACCCAGAAGTACGCTTTGGATGTGATTCGCAGTGCAGCGGATACCTTACGATAGAGTTCAGCAGCTAACAATGCACCACACAGCTCCAAACGTGGAATGCTTTGTTGCTTGAGTGGTGCCACCTTCGATCGAGACGTGAGCAGAGCAACCTTTACTTCCCCCAAAGCGTTCGTTGATCTGATGTACGCACATGTTCCATACGCAGCTAGAGAGGCGTCCGAGAAGAAATGGAGTTCGGCAGAGATAGAATCAGGGAGCAAAATGAATCGATTGATACGCAAGTCATTCAAACGAGGCAGTTCGGAGCAGTATTCGATCCAACGGCGTTTCATATCTTCTGGCAATTCCTTGTCCCAGTCGTACGGCTTGTCGTTGTCCTCCTTAAGACCCCATAACGATTGCATAAAAACTTTGGCAACGACTACAACAGGTCCTACCAAACCGAGTGGGTCAAACAACTTGGCTATGCAGGAAAGAGAACTGCGCTTCGTAATTATTGTATCAGCGTCGACGGCAGCTTCGGGAACAATGTATTTTAACTGGTCGGAGCACGGCTCCCAATGCAGACCAAGAGTTTTTATTGACTGATTTTTATCGAAGTTCACCAGAGGTTTTAACGCTCGATTCTCTGGAGGAATTCCATCAAGCACTTCCGGACAGTTACTCGCCCATTTCCGAAGTTGCATCCCAGCTGAATTCAACATGGCGTCCATCTGCTTTCGCAGTTCAATGGCTTCGGCGACAGTACTTGCTCCGGAAAAGAAGTCATCTACGTAAAAATCTTCGCTGGCTGCGCTTGCTGCGAGCGGGAAATTTGAGCTTTCATCCTGTGCGATCTGCTTCAACACTCTAGTGGCTAAATACGGTGCTGAAGCAGTGCCGTAGGTCACAGTCTTCAATTTATAGATTTGGATCGGTTCTTCTGGTGATTGGCGCCAGAAAATCAAATGAAATCGACAGTCTTCAAGAAACAGCAGAATTTGCCGATACATTTTGGCGATGTCGGCGATAAGCATTATTGGATGCATGCGAGATCGCATCGTGATAGCTCTCAAGTCCTCCTGAACGATTGGACCAACCAGCATGGCATCGTTTAAGGAAACTCCACTAACACTCTTGCACGAGGCATCAAATACGACGCGGACCTTGGTGGTGCTGCTGTCTTCGCGAATGACTGGATGGTGAGGTAGAAAGTATGCAAGCCCAGATGCTGCCTCAGACTCGTCGATTCGCTTCATATGTCCTAACTTCTCGTATTCTTCCATGAATTTCTTGTATTCTATAGCTAGCTTTGGATCTCGTCCCAGGCGATTCTCGAGCAAACGGAAGCGGTGAAGTGCAGTGCGTTTATTGTTCTCCAACTTCTTCAAAACCTCTTCTTTGAACGGTATGCGCACCATATACCGTCCATCTTCGCAGCGAAAGACCGTGTCAGAAAAGAATTTCTCGCAGTAGGCTTCAGCCGGGGAGTGTACAACTCCCGAATCATCCTCGATGGCCCAAAACCGCTCCAAGTTGCGTTGTATTTCGGCAGTAGTAGCTACGTTGCAGACAATGGGTGATCTTGAATGTTCTTGAGAAGTTTTTCCGCTAATCACCCAACCAAAGACTGAATTCACGAGGCACGGAAGAGACTCGCCCAATGGAATGCGACCTGCTACGCTGAAGAGATCGAAAAACACCTCCGCTCCCAGCACAACATCAATAACTCCGGATTGATAGAAAGATGGATCTGCTAACTGAATTCCCGTTGGAAGCGACCATCTAGAGGCGTCAACGGAAATTGATGGAAGGTCTACGGTGATCCTCGGTAGGACGAAGGCTTCGATTGTGGCAACATAGTTGGAAATTCTGGACTTTATGGTGGACTGGAACTTGCAGTGAACTTCTGTAGCAGCTTCACCAATCCCTGCAATAGGCAGATTCACCTTGCACCGACGAACCTTCATTCGCTGGAGTAGCCGCTCAGTTGCGAAACAACATTCGCTGCCTGAATCCAGTAAGGCTCGTACCGGATGCTCTATCCCGTTGTTGTCCACCATGATGACGATGGCTGTAGCTAGCAGCACCTTCGTTCTAGATCTGTCCAGGGAAGTGCTACTCGTGATGCCAGTATGTGCCGCTGGGGTGGAAGAAAGTTGTTCGTTGTTGCTGCTTTGCTGACTTGGCTGGATGAGGGATGCGGGTCGACTGCTGCCCTCTGATCTTGAAGCATAGCACAACTGCGTATGGTGCCGCCCTCTACACTTGCGACAGCTGCTTTCAGATGAACACTCCTTTGCCAAGTGGCCTCGTCGTAGGCAGTTTCGGCAAAGCTGATTGCGTCGGATTACACGCTCCTTCTCGTCAACCGACATTTTTGAAAATTCTCCACACTGGTAGAGAGAATGCTGGCTAGAACACGCTGGACACTGGCGCGATGCTTGCTTTGAAGCTCCGTGATTTGCTGAACGAGGTGGATTATGTTTCTTCGCTAGTGTTGCCATCTCCGCTGACTTGCCGCTAACCGTTTCCAACACATTGACTCGACGTTGAAGAAACTCTATCAACTGCTGAAACTTGGTCGTCTCGTTTGCCTCTGCATACTCTTCCCAATCGCGTCTCGTAACAGCATCCAACCGAGTACTGAGCAAGTGAATTAGTAGCACATCCCAGTGTTCAGTTTGCTCCCCCAACTGCTTGAGAATTTTGACATTGGCTTGGAACTTGTCAATAAGCGTGTGCAAGTCCATAGCTGTCTCAAGCTTCATACAAGGAAAATCGAAAAGTGATTGGACGTAAGTACGTTTCAAACGCCGCGTGTTCTGATAATGGCTCACGAGCAGATTCCAGGCAACAGGATACTGTTCGTTGCTAATTGGAATCGTTTGTATGAGTTTTAATGCCTCGCCAGCCAAAGAGGAGCGTAAATAATAAAATTTTTGAATCGTCGACAAGTTAGTCGAAGTGTGCACGAGGGATTCAAATAAATCGTGAAAATTTATCCAGCTCTTAAAATGCCCATCAAAAACTGGTAATTTAATATCTGGCAGCTTGACATGGGACACTTGATTCATATCATGGGGCCGGGTAACGGGCAACGAGTAATTTTGATTTAGTTGGAGTAACGTACCCTTCGTCTTGTAGTATATCCGCTCTACATCTGTGCGCTCCTTTAAATATCCATCCAAGACGTACAGCGTTGAATTCTGTCCACAAAGCGATCACATTCTCCAGGCGCACGGGTACTTTGTGCTTATCCCTGTCGACTTGATAACTGGTGACGAAGGATCCAATCGCCGATATTGATGAGAGAATGCTGCGTTTGCGATTCTTCAAACCGCGCAATTTCCTCTCTGCCGCTGACATATCGATGAGTGATGGAAGGATCTGGGAGTAGGCAATTTAGTGCCTTGATATTAATCAAATTTGTCTCCTCACTATGGTTGAGATGTGCAATCACAGTAGACGGATCTCTCTAACGACAAATGGCGCTATCCAACAGAGCAATTGTACCGCTTCAATGGCTACGTGTCTGGGTCATCGACCAGTTTTGAGGTCATCGACCGACTCAGGGAGTATTGACTCACCAGCATACAATAAAGGCTTCCATAGTCAGTCCACCAATTGTTGTTTATAGTTCAGCAATACGAAGATCACAGCATCCAAGCAGTAATGAAGTGCACATGCAAAAAAGATTCCGGTAGAACAACTCTCACTGGGTTAGATTGAATGGAATTGCACTCACCTATGTGAGGCATGAAAATGCCTGGTATTATTTCCAATCAACAGAGCGGCAACGAAATGGCGCATTCGCCATACAGCTCATGCGAGGCACGTCGTGTGGTAGGATTGTCGACCTGATGGGACTTTTCTGGCCAGAGCGGATTCCTCTCGACGCTCACTCCGGCTCGAAGGACCATGTTCCTTTTTCAGAGGAATAATTGTTTCGCTAGGCTCATTGCCGAAAACATATCCAGCGACCGAGCGTTCTTTGGGTTAAAGTTTCACAACTAACAATATTGCATGCACAAAACACAGTTTATTTTTCTTAAATTACACTACACTCATTTAATCAAACTTTATTTTTGTAACTTAACTAAACACTAAACAAATAATTAATTATCTTCATCGTTTGCCGAAGATGGCGACATAGATTGTCGGCGCGATGAATTTGTGGGCTACGCACCCAGCTGCGACGGTGGATTGATGTGCACTGACTCGTCCTATGGTGTATTGTTTTTCCCTTCGGTGCGGATGCTGTAGAGAGATGACATCGCGAACAGTGGTATGTTCCGTACAGTCGATGTGTGGGATATCGATCGGTGATTGTCCATTGCGTTGTGTTGCTAAGTTGGTGGTGGAGCGTTCATCGGTCACAGATTCGAGGACAGACGTATTGATGGTGTCGAACACCAACAATTTGTCATAACGGCGCCGGTGGTGTAGTGGTAAGCGTGATTACCTCTCACCCCAGCAGGCCTGGTTTCAATCCCAGTCGGCGCCGCCGGGATGTTCTGAGGCATAACATCTCTGATCACGCCTTCCTTCGGATGGGAAGTAAAGCCGTTGGTCCCCGGTTTATGAGTTTGATGGGTCGATAGGTAGGGTCCAGGTGTGGGAGCTGCCTTCCTGGCACGACGGTAGCATTGGTGCTCAGCACGGAAAACAAGATCCACGGAAAAAAACAAACCAAAGGAAAAAAAAAAACAATTTGTCGTGACAAATAATTTTCAAAAAATTCAACAACTTTTTTCTCTACTTTGGGACCATGCATTAATTATGTCACGCTAAATCGAGGAAAAATTTACCCCCCTCCCCCTATCGTGACGGTTTTCCTATACCTAATGCATTGCTTGTCACAAATCTTAGACCCCCTCCCCCCTTAGAGCGTGACATAAAATATGAATCAACCCTTTCTCTAAGAAATATGAATCGTCTTTCACCACTTCCATTATAAAGTAATCTTGAAAATCATTCGAATTGACAAACAGATACACAACCTTTTCGATATCGGATATATCGGATGGATATATTTAGTTCCATCAAAAGTGAGTATACCAATCGATTCGTTAGATCATTCTGCATCAATGAAACAAATTTAAAAAAAAAAATCGGGCGCATTTTCGAGTTACGCCATTTTAAAGGCGTAACTGCATAAATCTCACTAAAAACAGTGAAATTCCATTACATATGCTTATTTTACATGCACAAATCGCAACACTCGCTGTTTTTTTTAATGAACACAAGTTTTTAGGCATTGACAAACGTTATTGACAAACGTGCCTTTTGTGAGTTGCAGCGCAATCAACAAAAAAAAGTGTGCATTTTATGCCTTTCAAATAAAAAAAAACGTTAGACCGATCTCCAGTGCAATACGTCAAGTGATTAGGGATCATAACATAAGCGATATTGATGTTTGCGAGTGGTATTATCCGTCTTCAATATGTGCCAAGTTTCGGATTTATTGCAGCCCTGTATATGGAAATAGCAGAAAAGTGGTCCTACATAAATACAAGTTTAACTATTCTAAGAGTACGAGAACAAATTCAAAGTGCACTTGTGAAGTTTGTGAGGCTGCCCAGCTAAAATATGGAAAAAATCTACCGGGAACAGTTCCTAGAAAGGAAAACCAACGTAATTCAAAACCGAGCTATTTAAACACTACTAAAGTCATACGCGAGGTCATACGCATGTGTAATACTTGTATAACGGAAATCGGACGAGGGAAGAATCACGTTTGTACTGTCACTGAGCGTTCAGCAAATTTAGCGAGAATTCTGAAAGAAAATAATTCTCCACCAAATGCATCAGAAGCAGTTGTGTCAAAGTTTCTAGCCGAAAAAGTCTCAACTTCTGGTAAAACAGCAGCTGTAGCTTTAACGTTTTATTTGATTCATACAGGTTCTGAAAACATTCGCTTATCAAATCGTCGAAGAAAACCATCCGTATTTCTAAAAGCTAATTCTACTGTATCTTTGAAAGAACGGAAACGCATGCGGACGGAAGGTATGTTCAAAGTGAAGACGGAGAATAACTTGAGCATGCGAAAGACTCTTGGTAATATTTTATTTAGGATCTGCCGAAACTTTTGATTTGCTTATTGGTTAGTTGATTTACAGGCATCATGAAAGGTTTAAAACGAGGGGGGCGACACATCCAAATCTCAAGTTTAGATGCTTAACAAATCTCCAACTAGTGAATCAATCTTCGAAAAATCTTCTTTCATTTCTCGCATCTACTTGCATCGCGCATCATCTTTTTGCAGGAAATCTTCAGAATCATCGTCAATCTTCTTTCTATCTAGTTTGGAGGCGAACCAGCCCAAGGCTGAAAGCCTCCCTAATAAAGATAAATTAATTAATTAATTCTTTCTATCTACTCAGCGTGCACGCAGCTAGCCACAGCAAAACACAATCTTTCCTGCATCGTAGATAGAGTCGTCCCCCTCGGTTTAAAACGAGGTGGAGTGAGCTTTGAAACTGGCTTAAAAGGAAAGCTTTCCAAACTGCTTGGAGATTTGTTTAGTATTGTAGAGCTAGGAGAAGTAGCCAAAGGTAAAACTCAAAAAGGTACATATTTTAAAGAAATCTAAATTAAAATGCTCTTTTCTAGCTGAAAACGTCCATCTTGGTCAATACGCTGATGTTCCAGTTATATTTTGTAATAATATACCTGAGTTGCTTCAACGAATCAAGAAAAGTAGACACGCCAGTGAGGAAGAACTTTTCATAAAGCTTGGTATCGACGGTGGAGGAGGATTTTTTAAGATCACTCTCTCTGTTGTATCGAAAACCCAAAATAATTTCGCAGATTATTTTAAGGACAGTGGCGTGAAATGCCTACATATTTTTGCATTGGCTCCAAATCTTGCCGAAAAATATGAATATATTTTTCTAATCTGGAATGGTCTTTTAAAGCTGAATGATTTAAAGATCATTAACGTGATTATTGGAATAATGACGAATTCATCTACCCACCCCTGTCCATATTGTGTAACAGAAAAATCAAACCTTGCATTGCAAAGTGGAGTGCCCCGAACGATTGGAGACATTCAGGAAAATTCCAATAAAGACCCATGTTCCAAAAATCGTAAAAAATATGCTGGTTTTCAGCCAAGACAGCACTCATGTTTTGCTGGTATGCCCTTCGCCTCCACTTCACGTGACACTTGGGATCGTGAACATGGTTTTTCAAGCAGTGGAGAAACAAAGTCCAGACTGGGCAGATTTATGGATCGAAAAGGCTCATGTACGACATCAACAGCGAACATACAGTTCTACAGGACGAGCATGTCACAGTCTCCTTGATGCTGTCGATGTTCTCCGAGAAAACGAAGATTTGCTAAACTATGTTGATGTAAGGTACAGTTGTTTTTCGATCAGCAGGTATATAACTAATGACTGTTACTTTTTATAGGTCCTGAAACACTTTCAAAATGCGTACAAGACATGCTCCTCATTCGAACTTGTACCCGGATTTGAAGAAGATATTAATAAGTTTGTCGAATACTGGGAAATGTTGCATCTACCAAAATCGTCCAGATACCATATAACCAAGTTTCACGTGAAAGAGTTTTGTAACGCAACTTGACAAGGTTTGGGTTGGCACAACGAGCAGGCGTCCGAATCAGTTCACAGCGACTTTTTATTGACTTGGGAAAGATACAAGACCACGAAAACATCAAAGATATACAAATCTCAACTCCTGCGTGCTGTCGTTGACTACAATAGTGGTCATTTGTGTTAAACCA